GGGGAAGGTCATTTCATCCCTAGGAGGTAGTCTTACTGAAGAAAGCATGTAACTGGGGCAAGTTTTGAGAGTTTACAGCTTTATCTATCCCACTGCCATTCTCTCTGCTTCCTGTGCCTGTTTGAACACATTCCATTTTTTGTTCTGGCCACCTCTGCTGCCACACCTCCTCACCATGGTATGATGGACGCCTATTCCTCTGACCATAAGGCAAATAAATTCTTCTATTTAAGTTGCCTTGGTTATGAAATTTTATCACAGCAACAGAAAAATAATACAGTGCTAACAGGAATATAATTAATACATTGCAAGGAGTTGGGACACACACTTTCCATGTTTCAAGACCAGTGCTTGAAGCTGGGAAATCCATTAGTAAGCAAGAAGGACTTGACCTGGTAGAGCCAGTCCAGAACTGAAGAACCAACTTCAAGGAAATGACACTATGTTGAAGTAATAACATATATATAAAAGCCAGAGGCAGGAAACAGAATGGAGGCTGAGACAGTACAAAGGCAAGGTAGCTGGAATGCTGATAGCTGCTCAAGGTTCCAGGCTCACTCAGCCAACTGAATAGCAAAGACAAGAGACCTGGTCTCTAGTTTTGAAATGCATAGACTGGCTTAATCCAAGTCTAAAATCAAATCTGATCAAGACAGATAGGCACCTCAGAATATCTGTCAAGTCCAGGGACCCAGATAAATGTTAGGCTGAAGGATAGTGAAAAATGTGAAGCACAAGAAATTGAATTTTAACTTTTTAAAAATTTCCTTTAGTTTTCTTTAAATCTTTTCTGGAAACTACCAAAAGCAAAAACAAAACAAAACAAACAAAAAAAACACTGCAATCACCATATGAAAACGTTATTTCTAAAAGTGATGTTTTTTAATGGTACTGGAGAGATGGCTCAGCAGTTAAAAGAACTGGCTGCTTGCAGAGGACCCAAGTTCACTTTCCAGCACTCACATGGTGGCTAACAACCATCCATTAACTCTAGTTCCAGTGGATATGGCACCCTCTTCTGACACCCACTGGCACTGTATGACACGAGTGCACTTACATACATGCAGGCAATACATCCATAAAATAAAAGTAATAAAATTTTAAGAGTGATGTTTTCTAAGCTTAGCAGAGTTTGAAACTATAGATAGCAATACTCATACACATAAAATGAAATTAAAAAGTTAAATCTTTTCAATTTTTGTTCATAGCATATTAACAGAGGAACTGTTCCTAGTTGGAACAATGAATTCATCTTAAAATCCTTTTTTGTTGGGACTGAGCTTCATTCAGTATGCATTTAATATTTTATTTTCTACACCTTAACCCAAGAAAAAGCTACCGAGCACTTGGCTTCATTTCTAAATAGCATTTCCCATTCTATGAAAGGAGGGAGAGTTTCTAGGTAACACTTTGCTTCACTGTAAGAAATGAAGGATGATCCTTGAGAACTAGCTTGTTCCATGGCTGGAAGAAGAAAGGCATATGGTAAGCCTAGAAAACCTTTCTGAGCTTTAACGTTAAGTACTTAAAGCACACAGACACTACCAATCAAATCAGAGACAATGTAATTATCAAACTGAATTATGTAACTACATTTTAAGACTTCTTGTTTCTGACAATTAGTGGCTGAATGTCCTCATATTGGAAAAATATGGCATTGAAGTGGTTAACTACATTCTGTACAATGTTGTCAAGCAATTCAGGGAAAAACAGAGACTGTATGCACATGAGGATACTGAATAAATGTTGTAAAATGTCAAGTGCAAGAATACACAGGAATTGCTTTCAGCTATTATAATTTCAGAGCCAGAGAAAAGTTGCAGTATCCACAAAGATTACCCCCAAATACCAACATAAACTTCAATCTATAACTTCCTCTTGCTAAAACACAGCGAGTAAAATCCTCCTGCCTCAGCCCTGAGTTGCTGGGATTAGTCATGAGTCACCATAACCAGCTCTAACCTCACCTAGCTCACCACTTGTGCTGCACTGCACCCCTACTCTAGTCACTTTAGGTCCTCCTCAACTTCTTATATAAGACCCTGGGATCATTCTTAGGTTCTAATTAGCCCCTACAGCTTATTTCAAATGATCTCTTATCCAATGCCTAGCTACCACTTTGTTAGTTTGGCTCCTCTAATTGAACTTCAGAGATTCCTAGTCTGCTAATGCTTTCCTTAAGTTTTTATTTTACCAACCCACTGCCATTAATCTGTTATTTCAGCACTTGCCTTTTTAAAACAAACAAAAAAAACAAAAACAAAAACAAAAAAAAAATTGGGCCTCCCTATAGCCACAACTGGCTTGGAACTTGCTATGTAAACCAGGCTGCCTTCCATCTCAGAGGGCTGGGACTAAAGGCCTGTACCACCATGCCCAGCTGGCACAAGCATTTTTGAAGTTAGTCCTAGCTCCTTTTCATTTTAAGTTTAAAACATGAGAAATTTAAAAGCATTGCTTTTAAGCAGATTTACCAGGAGCTTCAAATAGGGTAATTTAACGTGGATTAATGACCCATTTCCTGCCAACAAATTGTTATACCTCATTTTCCCTTTGATATTTAATTTTTCAATGACTTATTTTTAAAGTAAAAAACATGAAACCACAGTAGAATGTCAAATAAAGGAAGTAAGATTCACAGTATACTGCTGTTTGGAAAGAAATTCATTAAAACCTCTGGCACACATCTTTAAAGAACTTCATATACTAACAAATATGATCCCATTTCTCTAAAGTCACATAATAAACCTTAATTAGTTCAAGAACTTGGCTTTTTAATCCAGGTAATTTTAATGTCTGGATTTGGGAAGCAAACACACACACAAACCCCACACCAGCACACATCTGTGAGCTTCACAATTGCCATGTATATTGTCTTTTCAGGGATGAGAGACTTAGTGCTTTAAGTGGTGAGTTACCTAAATTAATAATACTTTCAAAACAAAACTGACTTCATAATTATCAAGAATATATACAAGAGCAGATTTTAAAAGACTAAATTAGCATATGCATGTTTTCTGACATTCCTATAAATTATGCTTCTTCTAAATCATATATTCTGTACATCTGAAATATTAGGTTTAAAATATAAATATTAGGTTAAAAATATAAAGGCTAAAATTCATTAGACTAACCAATAAAAATGAACTAAGTTTTTAAACCAAATCCTGAAATCACAGCACTCAAATATTTGAATATTAGGTTTAATATTTCTGCACAGAAAGATTAAGGTTTTCACAAACAGTTAAGTTTTGTCAGTAAGTAATTTTAATGGGAATAGGCTGCAACTCAGATAAATCCACAAATCCATACTCTCTTACCAACAATAATATAAACACTGCTAATTCATAAATCTCAGGGGTTTCATACACTAATCACTCTAACTTTGCCACAGAATACAAATATTTCTATCAGAGCTAATTTCTCCTTTCATGTGAATTTGTTAAATAAGCTCAAAAAGAAAGAGGTAGAATCCCATTTTTCTTAGTTACCAACTCACTGTTTCTAAACTAAGGTATTTTCCTATCAAGAATAGTTAGCATTAATACTGCTTTAGTAAACTACACAGAATCCTAAGAAACTGCAGAAACAACTTTCAGACATCTGGATTAAGCAACTAGTCATGTGTGGAACTGCTCTCTGCTCCACTACCAGACTTAGATGATCATGAGATTCCTCAGAGTTGTTTATAAAGAACTCCATAGGATTTTACCATTTCTTGAAGAAAAAAAAAAGAGAATTTCTTGACAGTAAGTGAATAGGCTCAATGTTTAAAGCTAAAAACTAAGAATGCAAATTCAGAATTGTCTAAAAAAATTGATTACAGACAAGAATAAAATCAGTTACCAACTATGTAACGTCTGCTCTTCATATAACAAACTTAGCAGGTCTAGGAAGGATCTCTCAAAATTTGTAGATTTATAATAGATCATAGTGGTCTAAGTACAGAATAGCTAGACAGCTCTCCAATCTTAAAAAAAAAAAAAAAGATTTATATATATATATATATGTATTTGTAAAAAATTCAAATGTCACCAGTATTTTATAAAATTAGATCCAATTTTATTAAGGATTTCAAATTACATATTTCAGATTTCTAGCACGGAATAGAACCATTTTGGAGCTGACAAAATGGCATAAATGAACACAGCTCTGAAGCTCCACAAACACACTCCATCATAACAGGATGAAACATCTACCTCTTCACTTTGGCAGCAGCTATTTCCTAAGGAATGAAAGGAATGATTTTGCTAGTACTCTAAGTTCATTAAAAATGGGATTCTATCTTTAGATTACAAATTTTAATGTCAGAAAAAAAGTTATGTTTAGATGAACTATGATTATAAAAAAAAAATAGCACAAACCACCTAATAAAAGCAACCAAATTGTTTCAAAATAAAAGGGAAAATTATATTTTAATTGGTTAAGGATTTCCAGTAGTTAAAAACCTCAGAAAGAGGTATGGGCAGTTCTACATAACATACATGTTCACATTCTAAGAGCTTAATATTAAATTTTCAAAAAGAAAAGTATCATTCCCCAAAACAATTCATTGTTAATTTTCATAACAGCATAGATTCTAGACTCTCTTCTAATTACAATCCAATTAATATACCCTGTCAAAATATGATCCTCCCCCCAAAATTAACAGTAATTAGCCTGAGGTATTGTAAATGTGGCTCAACAGTCTAAAACCTAAGGGCATTCTCTCCAGCAATGGTCTCAATACCATTTTAGGACTTACTACAATAAATCTTACCATAATACATTAACCTGAAATACCTGGGGGGGGGGGGACAGAAACAAAAGTCTTGGCTCTCTGAAATCTATTCTCACTAGAACAGGAGCCACATGAAAATCTTAAAGTGTGCTGTCTATAGAGAGATCTAGAATGGAAATGTTTAGACATCATTTTCCAGTTTAATATCAAAGCTTAGTGTGAATAAAATGCTGAATATCACACTTGTGGTATAAAGAGGCCTAAATTTTTGAGCTTTTCATAAGATTCAGAAAGTTCATGAGATCTAACCTAGTATGTATTAACACATTTGTGAGGTAGTTAAATAAACAGTACTACCCATTCTTAACATATGCAGTAAAGAGAAGCACAGCTGAACAACATATTACTTACCCCTAAAGCAATAATTAGAATAAACCACAAATCAAGAGAAATTTAGTTTAACCAAAAAGAAATGAAATTTAACTTTTCTTTGCACTTGCTTATCATCTCCTCCAAAGAACCTCTTCAAAGGTTGTTCAATATAGTAAACTAGGCACAACTCTTAATTCAAGCTAACTTTCAGTAATAACCTGAATCAGAACAAATTAAGACATTATCCTGTGAGAACTAAAATGGACATTTTTATTTTCATCTGTAAAAACATAAACAGGCAAATGAACAACAACAAAAAAAGCCTTGAAATAGGCTCAACTGATATAAATTCATCCTTTTGAAGAAAGCAGAAGGTAGCCCCTAACACAAAGAAAAAGTCTTC